TCTGCTTATTCTTTCACTGTTGGGAACAATTCTGTGGTTTCTCTTGCAACTCTCCATAGCCTCACAGCTGCTGTGACAGCTCTGGCAGCTCCTAATACCACAGGCAGTTTTACCTACACACAGCTACTGGAGCTCTGTGCTCTAGCCCCACCGTATCCTGGCCCTGGAGTGCTCCTTTACCAAATGCTACCTGTATAATCCCCTCTACAAGGCAAATCCCTAGGTGGTTTGTGTGGCAGGCCAGTAGGGGGCGCTCCTGCACTGAGCCACCCACCTCACTGGATATCTCTCCTGGGGCACCTAGGTCTGGCCAATCCCCTTCCTGGAGCACACCCGCAAGCCTGGGGTAACCGCCGCCACCACCCTGGGTCTTTGTCAGGGCTCTGTGCTGTCCAGGGTACACAGACCCTGTGGACCTTGGCAGTGCTTGAGTCATTGTGGTACTTTGGGATCTTTCCTTTTAACCTGAAGCATTCACAAGTAGCCTCCTGTATTGGAGGAAAGTAAAAATCCACACTCACCTTAGCCAGCCAAGCAAAGGGAGCTAAAAAGGCTTGCCTTACCCCTCAAGCACACACAGAGCGAGGCGTGCTATAACAGATATCTTTACTGAACAGAGAGTGAGAGAGCGAAGAAGGAATACAAAACAATGGAAAGTTGATAAAACCCACTTGAGCAAATCAGAATGGGCTTGTTGGCCCTTCCGATATGTATCTAGTTCCCTGAATCTTGAGTTACTGGCTAAATTTCAAGTAAGTTACTTGCATGTTCATCCAGAGACTGATAGAGCTCTGGAGGCTGACTGCTTGTTTCAGTGTCCCAAAATGTCTGACCCCTCTAAAATGGAGTGACCCCCTTTTAAAACCTTTGTGACCTCATCACTAAGTTCCAACCATAAACCAGTATCCTCAGACCCCAGCTGATGCAGGCTGGTCAGTCTGAAAAACGTCAGCAACCTCAGGTAGAACGACCAGTGCCTCCCAGGTATTTGGGTAGGAAGCGGGAACAAAGGGGGAGCGAGTTCCCCCTCCCAATGGAATCACCTATGTGACCAGGTGGATCCAGCAGCCGGAGTTTGGAACAGAGGGGGCCGGGCAGACTCAGAACAGGGAGGCAGACAAAGACGGCAATTTCTTCACTTAAATGGTCGATTTTCAGGATGGAAAGAAGTAAATAGGGGGGTCCCCCAGGGATCTGTGTCAGGGCGGGTGCTGTTTACCATATTCATAAATGATCTGGAAAGGGGGTGGTGAGTAGTGAGGTGGCCAAACTTGTGGATGATGCAAAATTATTCAAAGTGGTAAAGACCAGAGCAGACTGTGAGCAACTACAGAAGGAACTGGCATGATTGAGCAAATAAGCAACTAAAAGGCAGACAAAATTCAATGTAGGTAAGTGTAAAGCAGTGTACCTGGGAAAAAATGACCCAAACAATAACTGCACTTTGGGCTCTGCATGAGCTGTTATCACACAGGAAAGAGATCTGGGAGTCACTGTGGACAGTTTCCTAAAAACATCAGCTCAGTAGCTATCAAAAAGGCAAACAAAATGTTAGGGCTTATTAAGAAGGGAATTATAAACACAACTGAAAGTATCATTATGCTCCTTTTTACATCCATGGTGCATCCACACCTTGACTACTGTGCCCAGTTCTGGTCCCCAAACCTCAAAAAGGATATAGAAGAACTAAAGAAAGTTCAAAGAAAGGGCAACAAGTGTGATTAGCGGCATGGAAGAGCTTCCATTTGAGGCCAGGCCTATTCAGTTTAGAAAAAAGAAATGGCAAAGAGAAAGTCAATAGGGATTTATTATTTACAGTCTCACAATACAAGAATGAGGGGTCACAAAATGAAACTAGTAGATAGTAAGTTTAAAACTAAAAAAGCCTGTTCTTTTTCACACAACTTGTCACTAAAGTGTTGAACTCATTGTCACCAGATGTTGTAGAAGTTTAGCCAGATTCAAAAAGGGCTTGGACAAATTGTTGGAGGAAAGGGGCACAGGTAGCTATTGAATATGGGAGTTAGAGATGCATCCTCTGAATCAGAACTTCGTAGGTATTAAATGCTGGAGGCTGCAAGTGAGAGAGGAACAGCGGAAAACCCCCCTAGTCTTATCCAGTTCACTCTCCCTTTCAGCATCTGCTTTCTGCCACTGTGTGACACAGGCCTATTTGATGTGCCACAGCAGGGTTACCATACGTCCAGGTTATCCCAGACATGTCCTCTTTTTTGCCCCTGTCCTCATGTCCGGGTGGGTTTTTAAAATGATAGCAAATGTCTGGGTTTTTTGCTCTTCCTCTGCTCTCCTGGGCTGGCTGCTTAGGGCCAGGAGCAGCAGATAAGATGATTGGCTGTTGGGGGTCACATGCTCCCTGCATGGCCCCGTAAAGCCACTCCCTGGTAAAGAGAGAGAGAGAGATGGTGTGCCCTTGGGCAGCAAGGCTAGGGGGCAGAAGTCTGTGGGTCTGGAGTAAGGGGCACTGGCAGGGGTGGGGGGGCAGGGGTCTGTGCGTAGGGAGTGAGGGGAACCAGCATGGGTAGGGGGCAGGTGGCTGTGGCTTGGGAGTGAGGAAGGGCTGGGGGCAGGGGCTTAGAAGTGAGAGGCAGAGGCAGGGCACAGGCATATCACTGCCCCCACCACAATCATATGTCCCACCCCTTCTCCTCCCACTCTGCCCCACCCCACAGGTGTCCTCTTTTTTGATACTGGAAATATGGTAACCCTACCAGGGGTCACGGGCCTTAACACATCATGGAAAACTGTAAGCATCCCTCAAGAAGATTGGCCACTGGGGACACATCAAGTGAATACCTGGGGCAACAAAAAAGAAAACAGGAATGGGAATGAGGTCACAGGTTAATAAAAAGGGATTCAGAAAGGGACACCGAGTCTATGTGACACAGGAGACTGGACAAGATGAACCTATGGTTTGATGCAGTAAATGACAACAGACCCTAGAGGAGCAGGCACAGAGTATCCAGTGGGGGAGGAGAGCATTTACTGCCTCACACATCAGGATCTTGAGGCATGCTTCTGTTGCTCTCATTACACACTGGTATGCCAACACACATGTTGGGCATCACTGGTATATTGGCATGTAGAAGACAGAGCAGATATGCACCTCTGTAGACTAACTAAATAAGGTATATTGAAAGAGCGCATAAGCTTTTGTGAGCCCAAGTTCACTTCATCAGATTCTGTGAATTGAGCTTAGGTTCACAAAAACTTGTGCTCACTATATATATCTTAGTTAGTTTGTCTACAAAGGTACATATCCACCCTGCCTTCTGACTGCCTTCAGACTAACCTGGCTAATAGGCCTGTGCGAAGCAGCTAGTATTCGCTTCGGATTCAGATTCAGCCGATCTGGGGGACGGTGATTGGATTCAGTGATTCAAATCACTGTCTCGATTCAATTCGACTGAATCTCCGAATCAGCCAAGCCAGGTCCATCCCCGCCCCTCTCCCAGCCCAGCAATGTCTGCCCCAGCTCCCAGCACTTGTTAAAAACAAAGCCCCGGATCACCAGGTGCTGCCAGGTGTGTGTGGGGGGGTTGATCCCCACTGCCTCCCACGCCATGTGGGGGGCTCTGCACAAGCCCCTGAAACACTGAGGCTCCTGCAGGAGCAGCGAGTCCCAGGGTTTTTTTTAAGTTTTTTCTTTTTTCTTAAAGGGCTGGAGCTGGCCCAGGCTAGGGAACCAAGGGGTGGGGGGGTTGGGGGGCTTGGGCAGAGCCCCCATGCAGCATGGGGCAGTTGGGGGCAGGAGGGATTACCCCCCCGCCCCCAACCGCCCGACAGCACCCGGTGAGCACCAGGGCCTTTTTTTAAAGTACCATGCTGGGGCGGACAGGGCAGCCATGGCGCGTGGGGCTGAAG